AAGTCTACTCACAGACTGTTGGTCATAGAAGTTGAAAATGTGATGAGACAACTTGTAGGGAAAATGCATGATTTCTTACCCCCTGTTGGTCATGGGATAAGATGTGTAGAAATAAATGCAGGATTGCTCACCTCTTGCTGGATGTGAGATGAGATAAGAGAAAGCCCAGAATGAAAGAAAATTGTGTTGTTACTTACATACTGTTGGTCATGAGTTAAAAAGTAATGCATTATATGCATCACATACAAACTGTTAGGCATAAAATGACATCCAATGAGTTTTGCTGGCCACACAATTGCAATATCACACACAGACTGATGTTGATTGAATGAGAATTGTGGGTTTAGTGGTGCAATTACTCACTCTCTGTTTTCATATCCATTGTGGTGATTTGCAATCAGATGTGCAATGTTACTCACTTCCTATTTGCCATGCAATGAAACTATAGTTTACAGGAATATATGCTGCCACTCACTCTCTGCCAATTATGAAATATTGAGACACTCTACAGATAATTATGAAGCATCACTCACTCCCTTTGAGTAGATTGAGGTGACACTTTGGTGTAAAAATGAGAGTTTAGTGCAACTTACTGCCTATTGGTCAGGGTGTCAGATTTGAAGAGGCTACATACTGTATTATTACTCACAACCTGTTGCCATATGATTGTTTTCAATCAGTAGCAGTACAATGTCACACATACTCTCTGTTAGTTATAGAATGAAGATGAGACTCTTTGTTATCAAGAGTGTGCCATCACTCACATCCTATGCACAATTGGTTGCATGACCTAAGCAAAGGAGTCACTCACTGCCTATTGGTCATAAGATGTAGACTGTAGTTGAACCACTAAGTTCATCAAAGAGTAACCTACCCTCTGTTTGTCCTAGGATAAGATTGTATGAGCCTAAAGTTATACTGGTGTCACTCACTTCCTTTCATTTACATATGACTCTATGAGAGGCTCTGTGGCTGAAATCCATGGTATCACTCACAAACTGTTGATTGATGTTATGAGGTCATTCAAGTTCATGAAAGTTTATGAATATTTCAGTAATATCACTTGCCCACTGTCACAGTTGTTTAAGGTCTCAGATCCACCACCAGAAATATTGTGATACCACTCACATCAATTTCATCATTTTGCTTGATATATGGTGTTATAAGGTATGAAGTAACAAAATAAATGATATAGGATACACTTACTTTTTTATCAATCTGTTTTCTAAATCAACTTTCCACATTCAGGTGAATTTGTTTGAAAATACCCAGTAATGTGGAAATTTGCTGAAAATTATAATAAAAATTTCATCCAATGAGGATTCCTTGAAGCGCAAGACATGCCTACAGGCTTGGCATTCCAAACAAATTTTCCATTATAGGGTGAAACTCACTTAAGTCCAGCTTTAACACAAAGACCAAGGTTGTTCATTTGTGTTGAAATAAATAATCCTTGTAGGCTGATATCATCAATTGCATCAGCAGTCTTCTCAGTCAATTCAGGACAGTCATTCTCTGGCATATCCATATCTATCAAGAATGTTACCTTTATTTGCAGTGGCAAACATTGACCATGTTCACCTTCTAATTTCACATATGCTTTTGGAGGATATGGAGTATTTAAGACTTTATGAAGATAAGTTGTCTCAAAAGTGATTTCAGCATTCTTCCTGGCCATGTCCCACTTAACTGTATCATTTTCTATATGATTTAAGGTTTCAGATTGTTGGACTATTTGACCATCAAACTTGGTGAAGACAGCCACCAAAGGAACTGTAGGGGTAATATTTATTCATCAGCACCCTGAAACAAGTTATTTGGCTTCAGGCCTTACCATTCCCAGTTCCTTTATCAAAGAACTCAAGCTCTGAAGACAGAATGGGGCGAGCACTGTCCATGGGTATACAGTACCTTACAAAGGGTGAATTGTTTCTTAAAGGGATTAAAAAGAGAATGATACCAAATTGCATGCAGCTGATCTGTCAGATTAGCTGCTACAGACCTCTTTTCAATAAAGTCCCAAGCAGCCTCCAACTCCTCCCTTGCACCAGATTCAAAGCCTTGAGAGTCATGGAAGATAAAGTTGCTTCCTTTGTATGTAATCTGATGCTTAATGTCATGCATGCCTCTCTAAGATTTAGTGGATATCATTAAGTGAATGCATATTAACCATTCTACTTACCTCAATTGATGGTGCTAAATGGGTTTCATCAGGATCCAGTTTTTTATCTAAAAGACACTAAGGATGCAAAGGTAGCTTGGCTTTTATGTCAAACTTACTATCCTCATCACAGATGATTGGCTTTGTTCCCTTTGCTACACCACAAACTTTCTCAAGGATTGTGGTCTTGCCTGCATTAGCCCTTCCTATGATTAGAATGCGAAAATGTTGGCATTTGTATTGCTTTCTGCGCATAGCAACTTCAACTTCCACATCTGCATGGATCATGTGCAAGTCAAGCATTGATATGTCTCTTTGACATACCAGGTGTAATTGTAAGTGGATGAGTAATATCTGCCATCAGTGATGCTTGCACTAATATTAAATGGGTGATCTAGAAATTAGAATTGGAGGTGGACTTGTACATACAAAGCCACGTGACTCAAGCACAAAGGGCTGCGATGATCAGTTGGGAAACTTAGAGGGATGCCAAATGTGCAAGGAAGTAAGTAAGATACACTAGAGGTGCGAAGAAAGCAGGTGTTACCAGGCTCGAGAGATGAGGCTACAACGGAAGGAAGGCGGAGCAATCGGATTGCATGGACCCCAAGAACTTCTGCTACTCTTTTGTACTTTCCCCATTTGGGAATCTGGGCCAGCGGGGCAACTCGCAGCTTTCGTGATAGGTGCATCCGGTAAGTCATGCAGCACTATACATGCAATTTATACTCAGGGGACAATTCCAATTCTATTCGTCTTTTATAGTCTTCTGGAGATGTCTAGTACGAGAGACACCGCCCAGGCTCAAATCCATACCTGGCGTGACGCGTACTGAAATCAGGAACTTCCGCACGAGTACACAGGGATAAGGTTAAGAGCTCGTTAGGAGACCCTAAGTAGCCCGGCAAGCTACCTTCCATAGCAACGTAGCCTGAGATAACGAGGCCCTTGTCCAACTACTTCGTGACCTTGTCGCACAGCGTTGCCTGACTGCTCATAGTAATAATTCATGGGCGCGGATGGATATGGATAGTCCCTGCGAATCAATGGTGAACACTCCCTTCTTTCGTAGTGCAAATATGAGAAATGCTTACTTCCAATTCGACTCCGGTCAATCGAAATATCATTCAAAAGTGTACATTCGGACGCGAGCTCGAAACGTGATTACCGTGTGGCCCTGTCTTGCAACACAAAACAGAAACCTATTGTTATAAGAGTCTGTCATGTACAATGTGTGCTGCAGCAGCTGGGCGCAAGCGCGTCGGAGGACATAGACGGAGCGACTAGTGGAGCCTTGGGACTAGATTTTAGTGAGACAGCACTTTAGCGGCTCAGAGGTTGTATAGACGTACCTGACGAGCGATCGACTCATTGGCTCTGCGTTAGCCTAGCAAGCAAGAGAGCGAAATCAGGAGATAAGCGGTCGGAGATGAAATCTGAAGTTCCGCCGAACCGCGCACCAAACTAGTTCGTGGCAACTCAGTCTCAGTCGCATGGCAGAGAACGCAAACGAATCTTGCAGCGACGTTCATACTAAGCGGGCCTCCCAGTGATTCGAGCAACTTCCTAGCAACACTGGCCTCATCGTCGCTCTAATTCGGCTCCGACTCCACGCGCGAAGCATTATTATTTGCCATAAAGCACAATCCAAGTTGCTGGTGTGAAGTATCTCTCCAGTGCGTGGATGTGTTGGGCATTTTAGGCGATTGCCAGCAGCTCACGGAGTTTTTTAGTTTTTTCTTCTAGATTTACGCACGTTGCGATGTGGCTTGGTAGCGGCGCGGCAAAAGTGGGAAGCGAGCACAGGGCGCTTATCCGACTGTCCATTGCCTAACTATTGGTCCCCATAGATTTTGGACGAGGGAAGGTTTGAGGGGTGCACCATCTCCTCCCAATTCTACTCAAAATGCGTTGTTCCATTGCCGACCGAGCTCTACTAGGAATCAGATTGAAACGTCAACTTTGCGCCGCTTGGGAATTTTCATGTCCAAACCGTTCTTGGAAGCTCTTCTATCATCCGTCGAAGAAAGGGTCTGAATTATGGGCGCATGAAGAACAGGGTCCCTCGGGTTTGTGATATCTCTTTTCAGCACTAAAATTGACATTCTGCGACATCGATCCTGACCGAACCAACACCTATTTTGTGGTGTTTTCACCGTTTGGGAATCAAGAAGCCATAGGAACGCGAAACAGATCCAGGTATTGCAATCCGTTCTCCTTTGAGTTTCCTCACTGACAAAGCAAAGTTCAGGGATCCGTGGACCGGTTACGAGCTACCTGTTTTCCAGTAAAAGTCGCGGATGACTACGCCGGAAAGTATGGTGCCACCGGCAGGTCAATATCATCAAGAGAAGGACAACGCTACTGCTATACATTCCGATGAAAGCAATGAGCCTTATGGTTTCTGTTTGGCGTTCCAACTAACGTTTTAATGGGACCTATTTGTTCAATTTGCTGCTACCATTCATTGCCAGTGATGCTTTCCCGACAAAGTTTGAGCTCGAGACATAGAAAGAGAAGGCGACAAAATTACAGGTCACCATCAGGGTTTATTTTTTATGACGTATTGAGCATATAGTTTGTGGCGTACTTGAATACAGTGAGAGTGATGGAGGTGGTAAACAAGATTCGAGAGACAACAGCTCAAGCTCGGTTGCATGAAGGGCTACCGTTTGCCAGCGTGAACAAAAGTGAGATACCACGAGATTGGGAAGGTGGATTTTTGCGCGAAATAGGGAACGCCGCATGCACGGAGAATAAAAAAAAATCTTTGCCGCATCTCGGTTTGCCTGATGGGCATTGGGTACAAGATATAGGTGCTAAAGAATAGTTTCATAAGTCCGATATGGTGTAACGGCTAACATTGCCGCCTTTCAACTTGAAAGATATCGCGGCAGCTCGGGGTTCGATTCCCCGTATCGGAATCATTTTTGTTCTCCCGCATCAGGTTTTCGGCAGCATTCGGCTTTGGCCAGAGCGGTCAAAGCGGTCAAAGCGCTTTGCCGCTTTTTTGGGGAGGGTACATTGCTCTCAGAGCCATTTTAACAGCTCTGAAAGTGCTTTAACCACTCTGAGTCTAGAGAGTGGTTTTTGTCTTCACTTAAGTGTTCACATGCGGCATCAAAAATTTATTGTAAATTGCTAATTATAGTGAGAGAATGTAAACATTGCTGTGGATGATTGCAGAGCGTGTGGAAAAGCGAATGTGTAGCAATGCACGAGAAAACGTTTGGAAGCGAGTGTGTAGTAATGTGTGAAGGCGAGCGGGTTGTAATGCGGTCCAGATAGTATGCGTTCGGACGATAGCTTGTTATCAAAATATGAATGCAACGATACTATAGTTATCCGAGCACCAAAACAAAGTCTGTCTTCCTCCTCTTCTTCGATAAGCGTCGCGGCGCTCGTGGCGGGTATTTGAGAGTTTTACGAAACCGTGCTTTTACTCAAACCCTCCCTAAAAAAATACCGTTGGAACGATGGTGAGGAAAACGACCAAATGTCGGGAACTTACAGGAATTTGGTATTCCCGTTTCAATCTTAAGCGAAGCCATCGGATGCGATAAACTTGATCCCCACGGCAAGATGCATGTCTTCCTAGGCTTTGAAGATGGTCCTAAAGTGATTCGCTATCACAACGTGAAAACAAAACAAGTTAAAATCTCACATAATTATCATTTTCTTCCACATCCAGAGAACCCTCGACACACCGCTGATGATACGCATCCCTAAACGTACAAATGTCTCACTGGAAAGTATGTTAACGCCGAGCAATCACTTTATGCAAAAGTGATATACATAGGTTTCAACGAGAGCGGATTTGCTCCCGAAAATCTAACACCTTGAGAGAGGCTCGCGAATCTAGCGAATGGCCACAATGGGAAAAAGCGATAGAACTTGAATTAGATCAATTCCGAAAGATGGGGACACGGGAAATACTCGACTTACCCGAAAATAGGCGAGCTGTACTCAAATACTGGCTAGCTAGAGAGATATAAAGCCCGCCTACTAGCCGCTAAAGGATATTCTCAGATTCCCAGAATGGACGTTCTCCCCTGTGGTACGCCTGGAAACGATTCGCACGATCCTGGAACTCGCCGTCAATTTGGACTGGGAAGTGACACAAATTGACTTACCTAAACGGTAACCTCGAGGAAGAGGTTTATGATAAGGTTTGTCGCCTAATAAAACAGGCCGGGCGAGCCGCGAGCGTGGAATAAAGTGCTGGATACGTGCTTGAGGGATAAAGGATCGAAGCCGATCCATGCGCATAGACCCGAGAAACAGACGAGCGTATCAAGTTTACTACCGTATTGGTGGACGACTTGCTCCTGTTCACAGACACAGCACAAATGATGAACACGCTGAAGGCAGAACTTCAAACGTTATTTGACGTTACTGACCTCAGCAGTCTTCAGAAGATCATCGGAATCGAAATCAACCACGATCAAATAAAGGGACGACTGAAAATCAGTCAAGCCCAATATATTGACAATTTACTGGCGAAATATAACAAGACTGATTGTAACCCTATCGCAACACCGATGGACCTGTCAGTCGATCTTGACAATGTGGAAGGATTACCACAAGACTCACCTGTCCGAGAACTCTATCGATCCCTCGTTGGCGCCCTTATGTTCCTAGCGATCGCAACGCAAACTGGCCTCATACGTAGAGATCCACTGGCGAGCGGTTAAGCGAGTACGGAACAAAAACATTGGGAATCACTTACGTGAAAGAGTACCGGGACATCAACCAAGTCTTCAAGTATTAAACCGTATACAATCCCAACGATGTCTTGCTGGCGGATGTTCAGACGCGAAATCCGTTACTGGATATGTCTTCACTTGCGCTGGCGGTGCAATTACATGGGGTCGGCGTTACCTGCTACAGAGGCGGAGTGTTTAGCGTTAACGGAAGCAACACAGCAAACTGTGTGGCTACCCACCTTATTTGTTCCTCAAACTCTGATGAAAGAAGATAACCAGAACATTATCCGAGAATCCACAGCCTTTACACCGCAGGTCGAAACACTCTTTGACATGTCATTCGCGAGAAAGTAGCTTATCAAACGATCAGCATCGAGTTGCCCTACATGGAAGACGTACTGACGAATGAGTTGCTGCATGACCGTGGATTGAGGAGGAACTTAGTGCATAGTTAGTTTTGCGTACTAAACACAACACAACAGACTCATTATCTATCTCCGTCTACTATTCAACAATCGTGGATCCAACACACGATAGCGCGACTAACCTGGAAGGGGTTCTCAACCTTGAGGGTGAGTCAAGTCACGACGCGTCGCCTAATTTAGAACGGAATCATCGGCGAACAACGCGCTTGCCGGCTGGTTCTCTTTCACCTCTTCCCACTGGCCCTCTGGCAGCATGCAATCTCAGACCGCGACAATCGCAAAATACCCCCGCCTATTCACCATTTCGTCTTCTCCTGATCAGTCCTCAAGTCTTGAAACCGTAAAACGAAAAGTCAAGTATTCGGAATATCAGTCGTTCGGTGAACCACATCGCCATCTGGGCGTCTCTGGCGATATCTATGTGGACTTAACAAAGGGCAACCACGTGCTGTACGGTAAGGCAGAGGACGGATGGCGGAGGTGGCCCGGTCCTCACCAACGAACGGCAAGCGTGTCTCATCCAAGCTACCCACTCCACATTCTTTGTTGCAGGGTTGAAAGTAAATCCCTGGGATGGGTATCTAGGAAGGCCATTACAGGCCGGATCCTTGGTGAGTAGCTCGAATTTACACATTTCAAGTTGAACTGACACCCCTCTCAGTGTCCTCAGCATCGCAAGTCATCGCGCTTATTCTCTCCCACCGGATTTCCTTGCGCAAGAAGGAACTCAAACAGCATGGTCGGCCTCGCCTTTCAGACGCGTCGAACGGCAGCAACGTACCCCTCTTTCCCTCACGTTCGGCAGTAAATGGTGTTGCAACAGATGTTTTATTCTCCGTCCCTCCCGCTCCCAATGCTGTACCTGAATTTATTGATAGATCCTCTATCCCTGACTACCATCCCCGTAAGTACTAGTCTTCATAACGGAACGTGGGTGGCTTATCACCGAATCCAGCACAAATCGCGGAGTTAAAGACACAAACCGTGCAAACGGGAACGACCGTTGCAAGACCCAAAGCTTCGCATCCGAGTCACTCCATAACCACTGATCCCAACAAGATCGTTCAGTCGCCGGCAGATTCGTCAGACCTCGAGGCTTTAGGAGCATTTCTAATAACAATGATGAACAATGCAAACGGCGGTCGTGGTGTTTGTCCTGCCACTTCAAATACTGTATCGGTCCCCTGCCGTCAAACAATCGGAGAATCTTCTCGTATCCCCGCAGCGATCGCCAACTCGCCAAAGAAAAGTTATCATCTCGCTTCATCGCCCAATTGTGGAACAAACAGGAAATTGGAACCCGAATCACCACATTGCGAGCCAGGTCCGGCCATGGAATCAGCGCAAGGCGTCGAGGCTGTAGCGGGACCCGAAACTGATCGCCTTTTCACGCCTTCGCCTTCTCCCATCCCCGACTCTAACCAGGATCCTGGGACCGGATCGGGCCTCGCCCACGTCCTCACACCTTCATTTTCCAGAGCCTCGCCGCAACTCCCTGCGCACCGGCTTTTCACCCCATCACCATCTCCCAAACCCGCATCCGAACTGCCAGGTCCAGATTTGGCACATATATTCACACCTACTGCATCCCCTCCGCCCGTTCCCAGCCCAGAGTTGAAACCATCTCTGCCTCGCAGCGTTACGAACGTGACTTTAACCAAGCTCAACTCCAGCTTCAAACCTTCTCCTGCCTCGTCATCTACGCTTTCAGGCCCGGGTTCGTGCGACAGGTCGGACTATTCTCAATCTATTTCAGGGTCTATATCAGCTTCAGCTTCGAAATCTAGGACGAAACGTGATAAACACTCTGACGCCCCCCTTTCCCAATGCTCTCGTTCTCCAGCCGAGTCTCCGAAAATGCTCAAGACGCCAAAAACACCTAGGACGCCTGAGAAACGTAAGATTGTGTCACCTCGTGGCGCCGGCGGGAGCAAGAAAGTGCCGAGCGTGAAAAAGCCCGTCGTTAGCCGTCCTCGTGATTATCCTTCATGGCCAATGGATATGGACGACGATTTCGGGGGAAATGACACCGGGAGAGCAACCCCGTCATGCGGTGGTGAGGAGGATCGAGAAGACCGTGACGAGCTGGGTGATACCTCCCCCGGAGACTCTGTCAGCCGCAACCGATCTCGCAAGCTGTCATCTCTGTTTACTGTTTCCAAGAAGAAGGATAAGGGCAAGAGCCGGGATACTGAGCGCTCGTCCGAGTCTGTCAGTTTTTTCAAGGTGCCAGCGTCTACGCCGTCTCGTACTCCAATGGCTCGGAACGAAGCCGAGGATTTAACACTATTAGGCTCGGACTCTGAGGCTGAACCCCCTGCCAAACCACGACGCAAATGCAAACGCAAAGCCAGGGAAGCTAAGGAGAAGGAAGAAGGCTCAGACTCGGATATCGTTATAACCGGAGCCAAGTTGGTAACTGGTAAACGCCGTGAGTAGTCGGCCGTTCAATTTGGTTTGACAATCTCTCATCCTGATCTCTCTCTCTCCCTCTCTTTCTCTGTTCGAGGCTCAATAGGACGCGTTCCGGCAGTTACACTCAGCCCGACGAAACTCAAGGTGAAAGAATGGAAATGGAAAACGGTAAAGTAATGACCAATGCTAAAGTGTGTATATATCTAACTATTTCCAAGTACAACCCTCCACCTTCTTCTCCCTCCTCGTCTGTTTCGTTATCGCACGCCGGAACAGGGAAGCTCAAAGTAATGCCCCGGGTGAAGGACCGACGGCCTTCCGACCTAATTAAGCGGACTGCTACAATCGATCGGAAGCCGTTTCGGAAAGCGAGATCTT